TCTGGGACACCTATCCCTCCTTCCTGACAGGCACCTTCTTCCTGTCCTGCTCTCCTGGCTGCTACTGCTCCTCCATGGGGGATCCCCGTGCACAACACTGGCACTGGCTAGTGACCTTGGCCAGATACATCCCTTCATCCTTTCCTCTGATAGGTGGCACTCAGATGGCAGGGAGGGGACAGAGCAGGAAGAACCAACTGGATTGCCGAAAGCAGGGTGTTGGGGGCTGCTGCACTTTCCAGGGACTTCTTTGGGAGGCAAGGGCAGGAGTGGGCTCTTCCTGCAGGCCCTCCCATCTGATCAAACCTGGCTGCCGCCTTTGCCCTCCTCCACTTCCCTCTCATGTTCATTTGAGGCCCTTGGAGCAGGAGTTCCATAATCAGAACCCTATCCCCTTCTGTTTTTCTTGTGGGGGTATTGCATTTATGTTAATGGTGGTGGAATAATTTCAAAAAGGATAGTGAGAATGGGTGCACAACATGAAGAATGTAATCAATGTCATACATCCATGTAGAGTTGTTGAACTGGGATATGTTTTGCACAAATTTTCACCACAAAAACAAAAACAGAGCCCTATCCCATTAAGACTGAAGAGGATGTGGGAATTTCACAAGAATGTGGGGGAGAAGAGCAGACAGTGTAATATGAAGACAAAATCCTGCAACAGGGTCATGATGTCTGACCACCTTCCAGCTGTGTGATCTTTGCCTTGGTCCCTGCCTCTCCTGGTCTCAGTTTTCCCAATTAGAGGTTGAGGGGCATGACTAAAATCAGTACTTCTTGAACTTTTCTGTGTGGAACTAACCACCCAGGGCCCTTGTTGAAAATACAGAGTCTGATTCAGCAGGTCTGGGGTGGGATCAGAGAATCTGCTTTACTAACAAGGGCCCAAGAGATGCTGGTGCCACTTTGAGTAGCAAGGACTTAAACAGGCCATCTAATTTGGACTTTGGAGACTCAGAGATGGGGTCACTTGAGCCCTTCGTGACCTCACAGGGCATCAGAAGGAAGCCTTGGGATTAGTTCCAGGCTCTGGGGTAACAGCAGTAGCAGTTACCAAAAGGGTGGGTAGTGAGGAAGAAAGGAAAGCTCCTCCAGCCACTGGCTGAGGCTGTGTTTGGGTAGACAATTTTCTTCTTGGCTACTGGTCAACTTAAGGAGCTCTGGCAGTACAGTAGTGAAAGCACTCAGCTTCTAACCAAAATGTTGGTAGTTTGAACCCATCAGCTGCTCCATGGAAGAAAGATGAAGTAGTCTGCTTCTGTAAAGATTTATAGCCTTGGAAACCCTATGGGGCAATTCTACTCTGTCCTATAGGGTCACTGTGAATAATAATTGACTCCACGGCAGTGGGTTTGGGGTTTGGTTAACCTAACCAAGGGCTGCTTCTGTCTTTAGGGGTTCCTAAGAAATCTAAAGTGTTGTACATAAGTTGAGTGTTTATAACCTCGGGACTGACTATATTTAAAATAAGGTGAATCTAATCATAAGTAAATCTAATCATACTTCAACTGGAAATAAACCAAACAACTTAATTATATATATAAAGTATGAAGGAACACAGCATAACTCACTAGTTATCTGAGATGCCAATGCCCTTAATGAGGACAGCAGCTATCAGTTAAACACTATAACTCATTACACTGAGAATGGAAATGTAGTCAGGAGGTAGCTGAGCATGCCCATGGCTGCCCATGCCATGGAATGGGCCAGCATTCCCCAAGGAGAGAAGCAAGCAGATAGAGCCAGCCAGCCTTCCCACTCTGGACTCCCCCTCCCCAACTAGCTCATATCATTGGGTTAATGCACACATCATAGTTTGTAGTTAGTTACTCATTGGCATGTCTGAGTCTCTTCAGGAAGAGCTGGGTGCTTCCCATTCTGCATCTCCTACAGCATTTTTGGCATAAAATGTCATTAACTACACAGGGATGGCATTAACTAGGGTAGGACGGGGTGTGGAAAGAGGGGTCCAATGTGCCTGGTTTCCATCCAGGCTCTACCCACTAGCCAGGGTCCTCTCTAAAGCTAAGAATCAAGCAAAGAACTCTGAGGCAATGCCCAGCTGCCTCCATTCCTTTAAGATCCACCACCTCAGGGCTCGGAATGGATCTTCAGGGCAGATGCCAGCAGCCCTGGCAATTCCCATTGGTCAGGAAAGGTGGAGGAGAGCACTTCTTTGTCTTCTTATTGGAGGATGATAGCTCCAGCTCTGCGGGTTCTGTTTTCCACAGCAACTACACTTAAAGGGCCAGTTTCTAGGATGAGGAGAAAACCAAAATAACCAAACCCATTGCCATCCAGTCAATTTGATTTTGACTTGTAAGGACAGAACTGCCCCATAGGGTTTCCAAGGCTGTAATCTTTTTGGAAGCAGACTGCCACATCTTTCTCCCATGGAGCAGTTGGTGGAATTCAAACCATTGACCTTGACTTTTAGGTTAGCAGCCAAAAGCTTAAGCACTGCATCACAGGGGTCTTTAGGATGAGGAGAGGGGCTCATGTATTAGTTTCTTAGTCCCTTCTTGAGTACTTAAGAGGCTAAGCCATTCCAAGCAGTGAGCAGGGCTTCCAAATTGGGGACCTGGGTATCTGGACCACTCTGGCAACCTCCCCCTCATCTCTCATCTGGGGTGAAGGTCAACTTCCCAATTTCCAACTCTTGTTGATGTCAGCTTGGGTCTGGGCAGGGGAGCCTAGTTTTTGCTCAACATAGTCAGCTCCTGGGACTGTGGGAGGACCACAGATGAGGAACACCCTGCCCCAGGTTTGTGTGTGTACCTGTGTATGTGCATGTGTGTATTATGTAGGCAAGCAGTTACCTTGGTGTCATACGAGTGCCTGAGGGTCATGTGTGAACTTGTTCATGGCCATGGCTACATGCCCAGTGCCTATGATGCATGTGTGTAACATGTATGTTTGTGTGATAAAGAGGGCCAGAGGGTTCTAAACATTCTTGAACACTTGTACATAAGTTGGCTTCTCTCTTCAGTGTCTAAGAAGTGCTGGCTTTTTAAAGGAAGGGGATGGGGAGTTATTTTTTGTCAAGTGGGTAACACCTCCCTTCAGCCAAGGGGGCAGATCTGAAAGCTGCAAGGGATTTGCATACATCGAGGCCCCACGTTCAGGATGGGTCCCCTGCTAGGTTGTGCCAGGTCCTGGAAGAGTGGCTGGTCCTGTGCCCTCAGTGCCAGCCCACTGGCCAGTGCAGGCTAGAGAAGGAGACGGAGCTGTGCTGACTCGTGCCAGCTCACTGGGGGCAGGGCAGCCTGTGTGAACAGAGAGGGTGTCGTCAGTCCTCTGGGGGAAATCTGAGATGAGGCCAGATCCTGCCTGGCGGGTCCATCACTCTTGTCTCGGCTTACACTTCCAGGGAAACTGGTCACCCTGGGTGGAGACTGGCCCCAGATATCAGGGCCCTGAGGACCTAGCCCCTGGCTCCTCAGGCAGGCAGGGCAGAGCTCAGGGTGTGATACAGATACCCTTGGCAGAGTCCCCATATAAGCTGCAGGACAGACCAAGTTTAAGAGAGAATGGGGCCAGGATTGAGAACTCTGGCTGCAGAGGGACCTCTGAGGCCCAGTTCAGAGCTTCAGAAGCCTACCGGGGGCTCTGGTCACCCTCCTTGAGGGGCAGCACTTTTGGTGTGGCAAGAAGGGCCTCTCTGGGTGTCGGGGCCTCACCTGCTCTACTGCTGCCTTCCTCAGCAGCCTTCTCTTCCTCTCTTGGATTCTTGATCTACCCTTGGTCCACGGGGGTCCTTCCAGCAATGATATATTGGAATTCTGGGTTTCCTGTCCCAAACCTTCTGAGAGTGGTGAGGAGGATCTAGGAGGCCAATGCTGAGACGAAAAGGACATCATGGGGAGGGAGTTGTCCAGGGGCAGGATAATGGAGAATCTCCTCTTGTTTTAGTTCCTGGCTCAGTTGTTACAGGTGTTGGAGTACAGCTCTACCCCCAGGCACAGGACAGCTACCAAAGGCTGGCTGGGGCTCTACTCATATTCAGCTGTGCTCAGCCCCCAGACCTCCACCCTACTTACCCAGAGCTTGGCACTTCTGCTTCTTCTCCGACCTCAGGGCCTGCTGGAGCCTCTAATACCCCTATCCCCACTACCTCCAAGCCTGAAGACCCTCAAAAGGGAAAACACCAGAGGGTGGAATGTCCTCGGCAATTCAGTCAGAGGGACCTTTCAGAGAGGCTGTGGTCTCATAACCCATCTCCAGTCAAATGATGGATCTCTGGACCACATACCAGGATACTGGCTTTTCGGAACTCTTGCTGCTTACTCTGCCTTTGAGAAGGAGCATCCTTGGTCCTTCCGTTGAAAGGGCAGATATCAGCAGAATTTGTTATTGTTAGATGTTGACGAGTTGATTTTGACTCATAGTGACACCATGTGACAGAGCAGAACTGCCCCACAGGGTTTCCTAGGCTGCAGTCTTTATAAAAGCAGATTGCCAGGGATTTTCTGATGGAGCTGCTGGGTGGATCTGAACTGCCAACCTTTCAGTTAGCAACCCAGGGATTAAGTGGTATGATACCAGCGCTCCTTTCAGCAGAAGTAGTCCTTGTTAAAATCTCCAGGGAGCCAAAGAGTGGGCCTGTAGTTCTTCCTCTTCCCCCTCAGCTCCTTATCTCAGACTTAGGATTCCCCTCTGGCCCCCTCCCCCATCAAGACTCATTCTCTTCACTTTGTTGTTGGGACCACTTGAAAGGGAGGTAGAGTGGGATGGGATAGGGCTATGGAGGCCAAACCTGGGGATAAGAAATGTATGGTTGTGTTCTCTTAACATCTCTGTTTTATTTTTTTTAAGTTCTGTATAGAGGACCTACCTAGCCTATCTCTGTAAAACCAAAGGGCTGTGGTTCACCCTGCAAAGACTGGCCCCTCAGCCCACATGTGCTGTGAGCTGAGGCAAGGTAGAACAGTTGCCTGAGGGGAGGGTGGTGGTGGTGGTGATGGACCCCAGTGCATAGATACAAACAACACAGTGTTCAGAGCCTGAAGCACCCTTTATCTAGGCCCCAGTGGAGCCAAGTGTCCCTGACTGCCTGCTCCCACAGCCCTCAGGGAGTGTAGGCACTGTGTTGGCCCTTGGTTGGAGACCTTGCATAAGCCCCAGCTCAGCCTACCCTGGAGGCCCTGACTGATGCTTGTCAATCTCTCAGTTCATCAAGGCGGTGCCCTCGGCATGCAGGGGCCTCAGACCCTGTACTATCCCACACCCCCAGGGGCTCCATCAGTCCCAGCTAGCTCAGCACCATGTTAAATAGCTTCTTTGCAATCTCCCTTAAATAAACCCATCCCCAGAGCAACCCGCCCCACCATGAATATATTAGTCTACTGGCTAATGCCTTCTAGAGAGTAGAGAAGCTCTCTCTTGCCATCTGCTCCAGGGATTCCCTTCTCCCTAAAAAATCAGGGGCAAAAGAGCTTTTCCCTCAACCCTGGGGCAGAGACAAGAGGAGGTCTGGGTTGTCATGTAAAACCTATGACTCCCTGGATCTTACCCTTCCCTCCCTAGGGCACTTTCTCCTTGCCCTCTTGGCAGCCTGGATGTGACTTACCCAAGGCCTTGGCCCTTCCTTGTTAGAGGCACCCTGGTTTTGACAGCCAAAACTAGCTCCAGGGTAAGGGGACCGACCTCAGCCTCTTGTCTCAGCCCCTGAGCAACTCTCCAGACATGGAGTGAGCTGGGGGAGACTCTAGCTCTTGACCCAATTCCATCCTGGACCCCTGGGACTACCTCCAGGCGCCCTCCACCCCCAATATCTCCAGGTCTCTTTTGCTCCCAGGGCCTGGGAGCAGTGGGGCCTGGGACCCAGGCAAGCCCGTCCCTGGCCTGGTCAGCATCTGGGCCCAGGCCAGGCCTCACACCCAGTATTGGCCATTTTTGAGGGCGGGGTTGGGTGTCCGGCAGAACTGCAGCAGCTCTGGGTCAGGCTGGCTGCCTGGTGGGGGCCCCTGGCCAGGCACTGCCATCAGCGGGATAGCCTGGCCTGGCTCTACCTTGCGGAAGGTCTCAGTGTCACTGGCCAGGCCATTGCGGGGCTTGGCGGTCAGGATCTGGACGTTGTGCTTGCCTGTCTTGTTGCGTTTGCGGAGGTAGAAGAGCAGGGGCAAGATGAGTGCCAGGAGCAGGAGGACCAGGCACACAGGGATGATGATGCTGAACATGTTGGCCTCAAGGAAGCCCAGGAAGCCTCCCCTGGCCACGGTAGGCATGGGGCTGGATGCTGCTGGGCCTGGCTTTCCTGTGGGCGTACTGCTCTCTGGCTTCCCTGATTCTGTCCGGGCAGCATCAGGAAGACTGAGCAGGGCCACGCTGTAGGGCCGGGCTGCATTGTAAGGCTCAGTGGTAAAGTTCAATGAGGCCACAGCAGGTGGGACCCCCTGTGCCCGTAGCTCCAGAATGAGGCTGTCACCTGTGGGGCCAGGGGGCCTGCCCACCTCCAGCCCCAGCCTCCCAGCCTCAAGGTCCTGCTGAGTGAACTGCTCCACAAGCTGGCTGTCTCTGGGCTCTGTCCTGTCCTGGGGCATGCGGACCACACGGCCATGTTGGGGGCCCGCCAAGAGGCGGAAGCGAGGCACACTTCCTGTGAGGTTGGCTAGCTCGCCTGCATCTAGGATGGCAGGATCCAGGCGTAGGGTGGTACCCTGGGGCCATGGGCCACCTGCCCAGACACGCAGCAGAGCGCTCACGGTGATGTTCACGGTGGCTGATGCATTGGCACCCCGGGCCAGTGCTAGGATGCTGAAGTAGTCGTGAGCAGAGGAGAAGTTGGTGAAAGCAAAGACCACCTGTCCTTGGTCTATCTGGAGCTGGCTGAAAGCTGAGGCAGGCTGCCCGCCCACCAAGAGATGCCCATACTGGGGACCCTGGGTGAGGTGATACACTACGTCTGGCTCCTCCCGGTCAGAAACCACCTGGAGCTGCTGCCGGCTCAGTGAGGCACGGCCTAAGGCTTGGGGCACATCAAGGGGAGCCTGCAGCTGTACCTCAATGGTGGATGGCAGGACATCCACAGCCAGAGACATGGGCAGGGGTGGGCTGGCCCCGTCAGACACGCTCAGCTGGAAGGTGCCTGCCACGCTGCTCCCATTGGCCATGAAGGCCAGCCGCCCTGCATCCACATCAGCCTGGGTGAAATGGATCACAGGGCCTGGGCTGCCCCCCACCAGGCTCAGGAAGCCATTGTGGGGTGCGCGCTGCACCTCATACTTGATCTCCTCAGGTGTTGAGTCTGGGTCCACCACACTCAGCTGGGCCCGGGAAATGGGGACACGGGAGCCCCGGGTGAGCTGGAGTGGGACTGAGGCCTGAGGCTGAGGTGGCCGCTCATTCACATCCCGCACTGTGATGATAAAGGCTTCTGAAGTTTGGGGCCCAGTCACGGAGGCCCCTGCTGGCCCCTGGAGGTGGGCACGGAAGCGAAAGCCATCCTGCTGGGTGCCTCCTCCTCCATGGGCATACGCCAGCTGCCCTGCTGCGAGCTCAGATTGCAGGAAGTGGGGCCGCCTAGCGTGGAGCGGTTCCTCGGACACCAATAGCTGGCCCCTTGTGGGGAACTGTGTGACCTGGAAAAGCACATCATGCTTGGGGCGGTGGGGCAATGGAACGTTGGCCAGGAAGTTGGAGGCGTCAAGGGCAGTCACGGTGATCTCAGCCCGCTGGCCCTCAGGGACCCAGAGACCTGGGGGTGGAACACAGGCTATGAAGGTCCAGTCCACCAGGGCTGGGCTGTGGACCTTTAGACGTGGCCCCCAGGGCAGGGTTATGCTCCCCTCTGCAGACCAGGGTAAGGACTGTGGGGCTATGCCCCTTCTCAGACCAAGCTCCCAGGAGGACAGAACTGTATCCCGCCTCAGATCTCATATCTACCCTCCCCATAAGTTCCCAGGTCCTGGGGGTTGGAAGCAGAAACTACTGACTCTGGCCTGTATCCCTTCCTCTTTGGGCCTCCCTTGGTGTCCCCCAACCTTGTCAGCCCATCACATTGTTCACCTTTGTTCCTCCAGAGGCGGCTGGGGCGCTGGGGACAGGCAGCCTCAAAGGACACAGTCACAGTGAGGGTGGCGGTTATGTCGGGGGCAGGAGGTGAGGACAGCAGGAGCTCCAGGGTGTCATGGGCCTCCCAGAAGGGCTCGGGGGGCATCTCGTGCTCAAACAGAACATTCCCAGCAGACACCTGAGGGGAGACACCTTTGTTGGGGGCAAGAGGCAGGTCCAACCTATGGTGCCCACCAGCCTCCTCCCAGGCTGGCACCGGAATTGGGCCCTCAGGCCTCCCAGACAACCCTTTAGACTCCGGCCTCTGGGCTCTCATGGCTGTGCTCAACTCCATGTCTGTGACTTGCTCTTTCACTCACTGCTCACGAGGTCCCCAGTAAGCACCTGTGTGGCAGTGAAGAGCTAGGCTCTGCAGCCAGTGGCCAGAGTTCAAATCCTAGCTCTGCCACCTTGGACAGATCATCTCATTTCTCTGAGCCTCAAGGAAAGCAATAATCTATCCTTGCTTCTGTCTAAAGCAAGGCTTTCCTCTTTAGGTCTGGACCTCAGTTTCTCTTACCTACTGAAGACAACACTCCCACAGTCTCCTGTCTCTGCTAGGCATCCATGTCCTCCTCTAATGGACCACTCCCAAAGTGTAACACACATAGTAGTTGCCATCAAGTCAATTCGGATTCATGGCAACTCTATGTGTGTCAGAGAAGAGTTGTGCTCCACAGGAATTTCAATGGCTGACCTTTTGGAAGTAGAACACCCGGCCTTTCTTCTGAGACACCTGTGGGGGGACTCGAACCTCCAACCTTTCGGTTACCAGCCAAGAGCACTAACTGTTTGCAACACCCAGGGATTCCCCTATCATCAGTATGTTGTTGTTGTTGTTGTTATGTGCCGTTGAGTCGGACCTGACTCATAGCGACCCCTCTTCGGGTTTCTGAGGCAGTATCACTACAGAAGTAGATTGCCCCATCTTCCTTCCGAGGAGTGGCTGGTGGGTTTGAACCTCCAGCCTTCTGGTTAGCAGTCAAGTGCCTTAGGCACTACACTACCAGAGCTCCCTATCATCAGTATACAGATATATCATTCTTTCTTCCATCTTAAAGAAAATAATTCTTTTGACTTTACTTTTCCACCAGTTATTGCTGCCTTTTTTTCTCTGCAGCAAAGCTCCTCAAAAGAAGAATCTATACTCTCCTTCCACACTGTCCTTAAATCATTCCATCCAAGTGTTTGCTCCCACAGTGCCACCCAAACCACCATGTCTGTTCTTAGGACTGATCTTACTCACTCAGCAGTGTTTGACACCATTGAGCTCCTTCTTCCAAGTCTCTGTGGCTTTTAGAAGATCCCACTCTCTTAGCTTTCCTACTGCCTTGCTAGTTGTTTCTTCAGACTTTTCTTAGTTCCTCTCGTTCTCCCCAACATCGTATCGCTTGGTCTTTAGGTTCCCCTCTCTCTACCAGTGTTCCCCAAATGCTCTCCTCTAGTCTCGTGGCTCCAAAGCATGCCATCTATGCCCTCTCACTCCCACTGCCATAGTAACTCTTTAGGACAGAGTAGAAATGTTCTGTGGGGTTTCCAAGGCTGTAAATCTTTACAGAAGCAGATTACCTCATCTTTCTCCTGGGGAGTGGCTGATGAGTTTGAACTGCTGACCTTTTGGTTAACAGCCAAACGCTTTAACCACTATACCATCAGAGCTCCTCCATCTATGCCAGTGATCCCTTATTTGTCTCTCCAGCTCAGACCACTCTCTCCTGAATCCTGACTCATACATCCTGCTTCTTCAACAACTCCACGTGGATGTCTAGAGGATGGTCAAGCTGAACCTCATGCCCCCTATGGACTCTTGGTTTTCCTTGCCTCTCACAACCTTTCTTGCTTCGGTTGATGGCAGTTCTATTGGTGCAGTGGCTCAGGCCAAAGCCCTGGATTCATTCTGTACTCTTCTCTTGCATTCCATCATCTCTTGCCTAGATTATTATTTTGGCTCCCTGCTTTGGCCCTCCCTGCCCTTCCCACTATTAAAAAAAATCAACCAAATTCACTGCCGTTGAGTTGGTCCCGACTCATAGCGACCCCTCCTTGGGTTTCCGAGGCAGTATCACTACAGAAGTAGATTGCCCCATCTTCCTTCCGAGGAGTGGCTGGTGGGTTTGAACCGCCAGCCCTCTGGTTAGCAGTCATATGCTTTAGGCACTAGGCCACCAGAGCTCCTCCCACTATAGTTTGTTCTTAACACAGAAGCCAGAGCGCCCCTTTTAAAATGTGAGGCTATGTTGCTCTTTGGCGTAACATCCTGCAGTGGCTTAATTTTGGACCACAAAGAGTCCACTTCTGACCCTGTTAGCTCTCTGACCTCACCCCCTACACTTTCCCTCCCCCATGCCAACTCCACTCCAGTCATACTTGCTAGTCTTTAGGGCTGTTTGCATACTAAACACCAAGGAAGAGTCTTTACCTCCAAAAAGAAGTATGTTTCCTCCCCCTTTTAGTCAAAATATGTCCTTGTGGCTTATCTTTTGTTTCCTTCCTTTAGGAGACATAGGAACTACTTTCTTTCTCTCAGAAAAACAGGACTTACGCAACAGTGAGAGGGGAACAAACAGACTGGGGTCTTAACGTGTGGGCGAGTCAGGGAGCAGTGGGGACTGGTTTGCTGGGGATCACAGCCATTCTGAAGGGGAGCAGTATTGGCCTAAATGGGGGAGCAGTGCCTGCCTGGTCTAAAGGGGGAACAGGGCCTACTCAATCTAAAGGGGGAGCTGGGCCTGCTCTAAGGGGGTGGTGTGGTTCCTCAGCTGATTGCCATAAGAGGGAAGACACGATTTTAAGAACTGGAAATCAAGTTTTTATGTGAAATATCCCAAATGTTATATGCTAACAGTTAATTTTAAGAAATTAAACTCATTGCACAGGCCAAATAAAACACATCTGTGGGCCTGATGTGGCCTGTGAGGACTGTGGTTTGTAACCTCTGGCCCAGGCTGAAGGGTGGGCAGGACGGAAAGCACGCCTTCTGGCACAAGGATGGGAGGCTGGAAGCCTGGGCACAGGCATTTCCACAGGTGAGAGGTATCTGGTTAAGAGTGAGGCAAAACTCAGGCAAGGTGGGGAAGGGTCCCCAAGCTCTGGGGGAGCAAGCAGTATCCTTCGGTGAAAGAAATTCCTGGATTAGAAATCAGATGATATAGTCTTGGTTTTACCTTTAACTAGCCCTGTGATCTGAATAGAGTTACCTGACTTCTGTGAACCTCAGTTTCCTTATCTGCAAAATGGGGACACTGATCCCTGCCCTAGGAAGCTCTGGTGGTGTAGTGGTTAAAGCATTGGGCTGCCAACAAAAAGGTTGGTGGTTAGAACCCACCAGTTGCTCTACAGGAGAAAGATGTGGCAGCCTGCTTCCATAGATTTACAGCCTTGGAAACCCTATGGAATAGTTCTATTCTGTCCTATAGGGTCACTATGAGCTGTAATTGACTTGAAGACAGTGGTTTGAAATCCCTGCCCTGCTGAGCTCACAGTGCTGTGGGACAATGATGTTGTCAAGACACAATCCAGTGCTCTCCCCTCTTCTCCATGGCGGGGGGGTGGGAGTGGGTTTGTCTGCCACGCAGTGTCTTCCCAGCTTCCCTGGGTGGCTCTGCCAGCCTGGCCCCCTGGTGGTCATTCGACCTAGTGTTCCTTATTACTGGGTGTGGGTAAACGTGGGGACTGTTCTGGCCTTGTACTCTCCCCCTTACCCGGCATCAGGTGACAAAGGCTCCCAGCAGTGCTGAGCCCTTACCTCAGCCTGAGTGAAGTTCACCAGGGCCTCGCCAGTGCTGCCCTGATGGGCAAGGAACAGCCGGCCCAGCTGGGGGCCCCTCATCACACGGTAGAGCAGGTGGTGGGGGTCTGTGCCTTCGTTGGAGCTGGCTCTCAGGTTGTGGCTGCTGAGGGGCTGGACGGACCCTGTGAGAGACAAAAGAGGCCTGTCGACCTTTGATTGGGAGTCAGGGCAAGGCCTCTGATGGCAGAGAGCCTATATGACCTTGGTGTGCCACCTGTTAGCTCTGCCCCCAGCCACCTGACATGAAGGATCACCAGGGCAGACCCACCTGGGCAGACAGTCAGCATCCGGCTGCCCTCCAGAGAGAGAAGCAGCTGCTTCCGGGCTACCACACGGAAGAAGTGTCCAGGGGAAGCATGCTCACCGTCGGAGAGGTCAAAGTGGAAACCTCCATCCAGAGGTCCTGAGGACAGGGGTGGAGCTGAGGACAGGCCCAGGACAGCTCCCCTCCTAAGGGCATCCCCATGGGCTGCAGGAACAAGCAGGGGTCCCCTCTCAGCACTCACCTCTATGTGTGAACAGCACCAGCCCACTGTCCAGCTGGGCTTGTGTGAAGCTGCGTACCTCAGTGTCTGGTGCTGCTCTCAGCACAACCCATCCGTTGCTGGGCTGCTCAATGGTGTAGACCAGGTCCTTGGGCTCTGAGTCTCTGTCTGTGCCCCTAAGGGCCTCCGGAGGGATGGGCGCAGTGGCTCCTTCCCATATCTGGGGACACAGGCCTGTGAAATTTCTGCCCCTACCATGCTCACCCACCAGTTCCTCCCTGAAGCTGCCGTCAGGGTTCCAACAGTGCCATGGCTCGGGCCTTAGCTGCCATGGGGGTTTGTTGCCATTTGGAGATTTTCCTGAACTCTATTCACCTTCCTGGTCACCCCAGGACCCCCAGGCACCCTCCTTACCACCTGTCCTAATCTTGCCTATACTTCAAGGGCAGTTCAGGTTCCTCTACCTCAGGAAGTCCCCCAGTTCTTATCCTCACCAAGTTCTCACTCCCGAGACCCCCACTCTGACCAACAGTGCTGCTTAGTAGTGTCTTCCTGGTAGAGTTAGGGTCTCTCCTCAGCCCCCTCCACAGTTTATCTGGGCAGGGGCTGTAATACACTGGAAATGTTGATTTTTTGCCCTGCCCAGGACACTGAGAAAGGAGCTCGGATGGTGTAGTGGTTAAAGCACTCAGCTGCTAACCACAAAGTTGGTGGTTTGAACCCACCAGCTATTCTACAGGAGAAAGGTGACACAGTCTGCTTCCTTAAAGATTTACAGCCTTGGAAACCCTAGGGGCAGTTCTACTCTGTCCTATAGGGTCACTATGAGTCAGAATCAACTTGATAGCAGTGGATTTGGTTTTGTTTAGGATACTGAGAAATGGACTGGGTGAGCCAGGGCAAGGCCTGGTGAGGGAGGGATGGGGGACTGAGAACCAGGAGTCTGAAGAGCTGGCCCAGTCAAGAGCACTGAAGCAAGGCTGAGATGAGGGCCCAGGTGTGTCCATTGTAGTTATGGGCCCCAAACAGGTGGGAGTGCCCTGGTGCAATGAGCCCCTCCTTGTGTGCAGAGTAAAGAGAAGTCCCCATCAAGCCTCCGGGGCAGGATCCAGTTCCCAGAGCTAGGGTCCTTCTACACATCCTGTTGTATTAACAACTTATCAGTGCTAGGCAAGGGCTCTCATACCCGGAAAGCTAAGCTTGGTGGGATTCCTGGGCTTTCCCCCATCCCCGGAGACTCCTGGCAGAACTCCAGAAGGAAGGGCCGTAATATATGGGGTGGGGCTTCAGCACTGGGCTCCTAGAGCAAATATGGGTGGACAGCACCACCTGGTGGCTGAGTTGCTGCAAAGCAGTCCCTGCCTATATTCCCAGGGGAGCCCTTGACTGTTGCTCTACCCCTCTGCTGGCCTTCCCACCACTTTGACAGTGCTCTACACACCTTATACCACCAGAGACTCCCAGCGCCCCACATCCAAGACAGCCCAAGTCTTCTGAAACATTCCATGGCTTCGGCTGACATGGAGTCCATACCCCAAAGGCTGGCATTCAAAGCTCTGTCTACTGTTGTACTATGTGGATGGGGTCAAATCATACTATTTCCACTTCACAAGTGATTAGCTGTGTGACCTGGAGAAATTCTATCATCTCTCTGGGCCTCAATTTTCACCTCTGCCAAATGGGGGAACCACTGCTTTGCAGTGGTGTAAGGGACAGAGACTTGGGGCACCGAGCTATGCTTTTTACTTGCTGTGGATGGAGCTTAATTACTCCCCACCTGAGCCTACATTCAAGGGTTTGAAAGAATTTTCTCCAGGAGTTCCAGTCCTGAGGCAGAGAAAAAAAGTCTCCCACTGTGTGCAAGTCCAAGGAGCAGCAGGGCCCTAGCGTGGCCGTTCACAAGCCTGCCCATTAGACTTATAAATGTCCAGAACAAAGCCTCACACCTGTGCTCTATGTTCAGAGCAACAGCTCATCTCTCTTCCTAACAACCCAGTGAGGCATGTAACAGTGCCCCCATTTTACAGAGGAGGAAAACTGAGACTCAGAGAGGGGGACCAATATGCTGGGAAGAAGGGACCACGGCCCTCTCTCTGGGAGAGGAGGTGGGGAGGTGTTGCAGGATGCTCTCACCTGTAGGCCTGTGTTTGTGGTGAGGATGGGGGGTTGGTCATTGACAGGCAGGACAGTGACAGTAAAAGCCACGGGATGGCTCTGGTGGTCCATCTCTGAAGCATTGGCCAACAGGACAAAGGTGTCTGTCAGTGTCTCGCTCCCATCATGCACATAGCGGATCAGCTGCTGTTCTACCTACAGGAAGACCAGGGGCTGGGGGTCAGGCCCCAGCAGGCACCACCCAAGGTCTCAGGCCCAACACCCTCCACGCAAGAGGAGATAGAACTTGTTTCCATAGGTGGGAAATGGGAACAATAATTTCTGTCTCCCAGAGTGAGTACAAGTAAGAACTGAGATAAAGTACCTAAAGCAGAGGTACTTCATAAACACAGCTCCCTGCCCCAACCCTGCCCCAAAGTTGGGCTGTATACCCAGGGCTTCCCTGACAGCCATACCTCTCTCCAGGAGAAAGCCTGGAGGGTCCCGTCTTGACGTCCTTCCTCCTTCTGCAGGGCCCCATGCTGGGGAGGCTCTAACACCTGCAGGTTGAGGCCAGGCAGTGTGGGGAAATAGGGCCCCTTGATGCGGAGCAGCGGAGGGGCCAGGGTGCGGGTGCCGCCCTCAGGGACACTGAAGTTCTGCGCCTCCAGGGGGATGGAAGCAGGCAGCACCTCCAGCTCCATGCGGACACCCTCGAGGGGAGCACCAACACCAGAGGCCACGTCCAGGGAGAAGGTATCACTCCAGGCTTCGGTGCGGGAGTGCAGGTACAGGACCTGGCCTGCATCCACTGCCTCCTGGGAGAAGCTCTGCACAGGGTCCAGGCTGGGTGGTTCATCTGTGGAGGCGCCGTGGGACACCATCACCAGGTAGCCAGCAGTGGGTGGAGTCTTCACTGAGAACACAATGTCTGAAGGTGGCACTGCATCCTGAGCTGCCTGGTTAATAGAGGGGTCATGAAGCTTCACAGGGGGTCATAGAAGGAGGCTGTCCTGGGCCCTAATAACCAGAATGGGCTCAATGCCCATGTCTCTCTCACTCTCCCAGGGAGTATCCAAGACACCAGACACCTCTGCTCACTTAGACACAATCAAGTTCACACACAGATCACTTAGACATGCAGCTCTCACCCACCCCACTACAGTCATATGGTCAAATGGCCTCAGGGAAGTACACAATCACATATCCTCAGACTCAGAGACATAGACATAAAATCTCACTACATATTTATGCACAGGCCTGGATACACATGTATATAACATGTACTCACACACACACACACATACACTGCTCACACACAGAGGCTACAGGTTTGCCTAGAGCCTCCTTCTCCTGTCCCTGCTGTTGCCACACCATACCACCAGAGGGCGTCCCATCCTTCTTAGCAACACAGGCTCCTACACTATCAACCGTATAGTTTGCTGACCTCAGTCCAGCCCCAAAGGATAGTGGGTGCACCCTCACCTGATGGTCCAACCCCAAAATCTACAAATTCTTGATTCTGTGCCTTTGCCTGGACTGTTCTCTCTGCCTGGAATACCATTCCCCACTCTCTTCAGTTGACACCCCAGACTCTTCAAAGCTTGGCTCAAATGCTGCCTACTCCAGGGCAAAGACTTCCTGACAGGAGACATGTTTAGGGACAGTTTGCCAAAAAGACCAGACAGCCAGAACCAAAAGGGCCTCAGAAATTGGCAGTGTAGAAGAATAAGGTTCAGACAGGGCAAGAGATTGGCCTAAGGTCACATAGCAAGTCAATGGGCCTCATGGAAGCCCATGATTGCTCTGTGAGGTTTCTGGTTGTGAGTAGCCCTTGTCAGACCCTCTCAGTCCTGGCCTAGGGAAAAGAGTTGAGGACATGGGGATCTGAGGGACAACCAAGCCTATTTCTATGGCCAGTAGTCTTCAAAGCTTAGTGTTGTTGTTGTTGTTGTTATGTGCCATCGAGTCGGACCGACTCATAGCGACCCCTCCTTGGGTTTCTGAGGCAGTATTGCTATGGAAGTAGATTGCCCCATCTTGCTTAGTATCCATGACAATTTCCCAGGGAACTTACTAGAATATAGATACTTAAGTTCCAGTCAGAAATTCTGTGAGTTTGGATGAGGCCCAGGAATCTGTATGTTTAACCACAGCATGTACATGTGTGCATGTGATATGTAGAGGTACATACAACTCACAGGTGGAAGTATGTACAACAGATAAATTCCTCAGGCACCCTCATACATATAATACACACATATAGGTGCATACTCAAGACACATACGTACACTCGACACAGGTCAATGAGTCACATCCTAAAACACACAAGCATGCCCAGGCATGACAGCTGGGGACGAAAGGTCCCTCTACCTGGCTGTACCCCTGTACACCACTTCCAGCTCCCTACCTCCAGCTGGTCCCTTCTGATCTCAGCTGCTTCTCCCTGGAAGACGTAGATCTTCTTGTGCTGAACCAGTTGTAGTGGGGGCAGTGGTCCCTCTAGGGCAATGGTCACCCGCAGGGTGGCATCTGTGTGCACGGGCCCTGCCTCCACGGAGAAGGCCAGGGTGTCATGGGGGCTGAGGCTGCCATTGTGTCTGTAGACAATGGCCCCATCCAGCAGGTCCTGCTGGGAGAAGGTTGTGGCTGGCTGGCTGGCCCGGAGCAGTTGCCCCCACCGTGGGCCAGATGTGACACGATAGTGGACCTCATCCCCACTGCGGATGTCAAGGTTGGTGTCCAGGTGGAGCACAGCTGTGTCGATGGTGCCCTGGCCCCACTGAGGGACCATGAGGCTGGAGCCATTAGCCACGTGGAGGTAGGGCTCTGAGGCCTGAACCTCGAGCAGGGCAGTGGCCTGGTGCTGCCCATCAGAAACCTGCAGTTGGATCCAGCCACGGTCAGCCCCCGAGTGCACGAACAGGACTCGCTTCTTCCTGAGGTCCTCCTGGGTGAAGCGGTAGATGGGCCGTGTAGGCTCATCCACGGCTACGATACTGCCGAAGAGAAGGTCCTTGCGGGTCAGCACCAACTGAACATCAGCAAAGCCCGAATCAGAGTCACTGAAGGCCACATCGTCTGTTGTCAGCAGCCGCTGCCCTCCCCGGGCCACATGGAAGACACGGCTGATGGTCTGCACAGGGGCATGATCATTCATGGGCTGGATGGCCACACGGAAGACACCCCGGACCTCCTCCCAGGCCATGCCACCACTGCCCTCATCTTGGCGGGTTGCCACAAATGGGATGTCATCTTCAGTGGTCTCAGAGTCGTCATGCTGGTAGACCAGTCGGCCTTGGAGCAGGTCTTCATTAGTGAAGGACATCACCATGGTGGTCTTGTCTTCTGCCTCTCGCCATGCCAACTTCCCATGGCGGGGCCGCTCCATGACCTCATAGAGGTAGCTGGCACTGTTGAGACTCTTGACAAAGAGGTGGTCAGCAGAGATGACACCTTCACCACCCTCGGGCACTGAGAGGAGGACATTGGTGAGGACAGGAGCATTGGGGTCACCGCCGATGTGGATGGGGAAGGTGTAGAGGGGGGAGAAGTGAGGTGGAGCTGTGACACGGAAGCGGAAGTTGTCCTCAACTGCCTCTGAGGCCCATGTCGTTGCCCCATAGGTCACCTGCCCAGACTGTAGGTCATCCTGGGTGAAGCCCTGACCATCTGACAGCCGTGTGCCTTTTAGCTGAAGATTCCCCTTCCTGGGGGCCTGAACTACTTCATAGTGGAAGGAGGTGGGGCTTGGACCTGCCCCCTCCAGGGTGGCCTCCAGGTGGGCCGTGGTTAAGGCTTTCTGGTGAGTGTTCTGAGTGTGCAGGGGCTCCAGCCGCAGCAGCCACACCATGGCTCTCTGGATGGTCACTGGAAAGGAGAAGTTGCTCAGGGTCTCCTGACCCACTTGCACCTCTAGAGCCAGGTTCTCCACGGTGTCCTTGGCACGGTGCTTCGGGTCAGTGCTCAGGTACCTCACGCGGCCCTGCTCCACGTCATGCTGGTGGAAGGCCTGTGCAGCCCGCCACTCTGCACCCTCTGCCCCACCTGCCCCCTGCTTCTGCAGCTCCCCAAACTGCAGGGCTCCTGTGACCCGGAACAACACGCTGACCTCCTGCCCCACTGCGTTGGTCTCTACTGACAGGTTGGCAGGCAAGATGGGTGCAGAAGAGCCCTGTGCCAGGCGGAGCCCCGTGTTGTGGCGGATCTGAATGGCTGGGCGGATAGCCACCACCTTCAGGGTGGCTGGGGGGCTGGCCTGCAGTCCGTCACTGACCCTGAACGTCAGGTCCTGTGCTGGACCGCCACGGTGGATATAGATGAGGCTGCCTACCTCCAGCTCCCGGCAGGAGAATTCAGCTGCTGGCTGCCCAGGCTGGTCTCGGCGCTCCACAGGGAGGCTAGTGGGGTTGCCAAGAAGCTGGAAGGTAAGGCCTTCACAGGCTGAGTCTGGGTCGTAGGCCTGGAAAACCTCAGGCCCCAGTGGCTTCTGTGTGTGCTCCAGGATCACCATGAGGCTGCCATGTGGGAAGATGACATGGGGTGGGTCGTTGATGGGATTGACCTGAATGGGCAGGATATAGGTCTGGCCCCTCCTCAGGCAGGAGGGCACCGGCCCTCGAGCTGTCACAGACACCTCCAACACCAGCTGGTCAGAGGTGTCCTCAGAGCCATCATGGATGAAGCGGGCCTTGCGGTTCACCACGTCTAACAGGGTGAACATTTTCCGTGCCTGGGCGCCCGGGATGTCCAGCTCCAGCTCGCCGTGGCGTGCACCACGGCTCACGCTGAAGAGCACCTGGGATTTACGTAGCTCTGCTTCGCTCAGGTCCAGGGTGGGCTGTACATGCCGCCACTCAAGCCAGGCTGTGCCACCCTCGGCCACCACCAGAGGGCTGATGGTCAGCAGCTGGGTGAAGTTGGCAAAGATGGGAGGCAGTCCCCGCTCAGGCACGCAGGGCTCTGGCAGCTCCATGGCGGGCCAAGGCTCAGGTGCCAGGGTGGAGAAGACTTCATATGGGCCATAGGCATCCTCTTCATACTCCTCTTCCTCCAGCCTGCAGCCAGCTGCCATGTTGCGAGTCAGCAAGGCATCCCGGAGCCCCCACCTCTGGCCATTGACACTGAGGTCTTCCATGCAGCCCAGCAGGGAGGCATTGGCAGCCCCAGGCGCCAGGCCCAGGCGGTGTTCCTGGAGGTGGCGAGAGGCCTCTGAATCCAGGCTCCCAAGGAGGAGACTGCCGTGTGGCTCCACATAGCTGAGGACCCCTCGATTGGAAGTGCGCGTGGGGTACTGGTCCACAGAGATTTCTAGTCGGTGAGCATCTATGTGGATGCTGACCTCATGGGGCTGCCCGTCAGCCACAGGTACACTGTTGTGGAGCAATATGGTGCCCTGGGCCTTCTCTACTATGGCCCGCAAGTGGCCCTCAAATATGTCGATGTAGATGAAGTCCCCATGTCGGCCGCCTGCCTGGAAGGCCAGGGGTGCCTGCCTGCTCCTTGTGATGAGTGTAAACTCCAGGGTGCCTTCGTCTCGTGTGCCCCAGGCAGGGAAGGCAGCCAGAGAGTGGGGCCCAGAGAAGCCCAGGGCCACGTCGTCGCCAGCAGAAAATTCTTCAGCACAGCCCTCGTGCACATCTGGGGTCAAGGGCTGGAGGAGGTTTCGGCCATTGAGAGTGGCTGAATGGAGGCAACCTCTCAGGGGACGGCTGGTTCCCCTTAGGTAGGCCAGGCCAAGGTTCCCAGCGCCCCCAATGAAGAGCCCATAGGGGACCTCCAGGGAGTCTCCTGGGGCTGGGGCTGAGGTGTTCAGGAGCCCATCGACTGACAATGTGGCCCAGTTGTCTGTGATAGTTAGCACCACGGTGTGAGGGATGGAGTTGCTTAGCAGGGTCTCTGCTGGGGTCTGCAGCCTCAGCTCCTCCTGGCCCAGAACAAGTCTAACCTGGCAAGAGACAGGTATGGTGGGGGATGGGGCAGCATGTTGAATATATCACTTCTCCTGTAAAAGTACAATGAGTTCCCCACACTTGGGGTCCCTAGAGCAGATGATCTAGGGTAAGAACTTCTCATGGCACCCCTTTCTCCTTTCTATTATCCCTTTACTTGATACTCAAATACTCCCCAAAGTCAATCTGTGCCACACCTGGACTGGCCTGGGGAACCTTCAATGTGAATCAGATATGGTCCCTACCCAAAAGGAACTAACATATAGCAAGTTGCCCTTCTAGAGATCCAATTCATGGGTTTTTATTCTTCCCTTCTTTTCTTGGGTGAGAGGTACCAGAAAATCACCTTGGAATCCAAAAGATTCCACCACTGGAATAATGGTCATTTGGGAACCCCCTGATGAGGCCTCATTGAGGGCAGTGAGGCCCACTGTTCAGGGATAGGGAGCCCAATCAGATACTCTATGCTTTGAAGGTTTAGTAGAGAAAATCTCCCTGACCCAAGGTTAGAGGAGGGAAGAGGGACATGATTCTGGCTCCATGATACTGGCACCAGAACTAGCTCCGGCATGGCACTCCCACAACTACATGGTAGCCTGCATGATAACAGAGTATGGAAACTGAGAGAGCAGAGCACTAAGAACCATGACCTTGGGAGTTCCTTTCTGGAGCACCTCTACTTAGGGTGTGACATCATTGTACCCAGCAGGGCAGAACAGCATCTGTGCCAGATACTAGGCCAGTGTTCAACAGTGACACCTTGTGGCAGTGAGAAGCAATGGCAGCACCAGATTGATCAGGCCATAGTCCTATGTCCGCTGGAGTGTGGGAGCAGATGGAGCCTCCAAATTTGAACTAGGTAAGACCCCACAGGAGTCACTGGGTGGCACTGGACTACTAACTGAAGGGATAACTGTTCAAATCCACCCAGAGGTGTCTTGGAAGACAGGGCTACTTGAAAGTTCCCAGCCTTGAAAACCCTATGGAACAGCTCTATTCTCCACACATGGGGATGCCATGAGTTGGAATCAACACAACCACAACTAACTAACTAACTAACTAACTAACTAACTAACTGACTAACTAACAACAAAAAGACCCCAGAGTTCTCAAAACTCTTCATGGTTAGGAGGAAGGCTCAAGAGGGAGCCAGAAGACTCCTTGCTAATAAAGCTCATGATGACTTGGACAATGAAATGGAAAAAAAAAGAAAGTAGTGGTGGTATTGATGCAAATTACCATCATCAACAGATAATAGCAATGGAGGGTAACTCATGTTATGGCCAGAGGGGTGCACATGGGATATTGGGAGTCCAGGAGAGGGGGTGGAGCCCAGGTAAGCACCAGGGGTCATTTCCTGGAGGAAGGGATGTCCAGGTTGAGACTTCAAGGAGAGGCAGGTGAAGGGGATGAGTGAGGCATGCCCTAAGCAGAGGGAACTGCAAGTAGTTCAGTGTGGTTACAGCACAGCCCACTAGGGGTTGTGAACAATGAGGCTGGAGAGAGTAGGAGGGCAGAGCCAGTTCACAAGGGAGTCAGTCACAGTTTCAGGAATGCTGGTATTGTCCATTTTGCAGGGAGAACTTTGAGACCCTAAGGTGAAAGTGTCTTGCTTAAGGTCACACAGTGAGTTGGAGACTGTGAAAACTAGAGAAGGAGATCCATCCCTGGTTCCTGGGATGTCACTGACCTGCAGGCGTCCAGAGTGGAGTTGCAGCAGGAGATGGTCAGCTGGGCCTGCTGCCAGGAGCAGTAGGGCTTTGGGCTGGGATGTGGAGAACTGCAACTGTAGGTCTATGTCAGTCAGAGCCATGGCCACAGGCACCTCCAGGTGGTTCTCACCGAAGAACGAGGCTATGTGAGAGAGGGAACTGTGGTCAAAGCTCAAACTCTTGCCTGGAAGAGGATGATGTTTCAGAGATGGGTAGGTGGGCTTCAGGGCAGGGGCTCCATGTTGGTGGAGGCTTCAGGGCTGGTGCAGCCTCCTGGTTCTCATATGTGGTATTGTCTTGTGGGCATCAGCCAGGTCCTAGTACCTCCTTGGTCCTGGCACAAGGAGGATTCACCTTGTGTCCATACCAAACCTTGGCTCTGAAGGAAGCCACACACTCTCCTCCCTTGGACCCCATTAGAATCTCCCTCCTAGATCTGGCCCCTCCCTGGCCCAAAGGGAAACTGTCACTGGTCTGATTACCTGGCCTGGTGGTCACCTCTCTTGCTCACATTCTCACTCCAAATTGATCTCACTCAATTCCTTCTAACTATTCTTATGTGAGGGGGGAGCTTCTGAACAACACTTGCCATGCCATGCCCACCTCCATGGGCTGGATGGAGCCATGGCTAGGGCCTTGTGATCATGCTAAGAGGGGAAGCTAGCCCATCCCAGCTTCTCTCTCAGGCTAGGCTCCCAGCTGTCCTCAGGGGTAGGTGTGGCAGTTGGTTGGCCTGAGTCCTCCTCCTGAGGAGCAAAGGCTGTGAGGCCGGATGGAGACCATGTGCAATGCTGGACCCAAAAGGCGCCAAAACTTCCTCCATCACCCCATATTGCTTCCTGCTGTAGAGCTATTACTGGTCCCTAGCGAGTGGTCAGATCTGGCCCCATTGTTTCCACTTTGGCCAGGGAGCCAAGGACGAACACAGCTGAGTCCTTGCTTCCATCAGGCTAAGCCTGAGGCTGAAGACAGGGCCTAGGAGGGCCTGGGGTATGCTGGGCAGAGCAAAGAGAGCCTCCCAGGGCAGCAGGCCACATTTGGGTTTGTCCAGGGTCACTGGCCACTATGTAAGGCTTCTTTTGTCCTACACTGGGCTCCTTTTAAACTACCACCTCCTCTAGGTATTTTCCTCAAATTAGCCTCCCTCAGCCTCCAACTTGCAGCCACAATTCCTGGTCTATTCCCTTTTGCAGAGGTTGTTGTCATTAGTTGCCATCAAGTTGACATTGACTCATGGTGACCCCGGGAGCTCTGGTAGCATAGTGCCTAAGGCACTTGACTGCTAACCAGAAGGTCGGCAGTTCAAACCCATACGCCACTCCTTGGAAGGAAGGTTGGGCAATCTACTTCCATAGTGATACTGCCTTGGAAACTCAAGAGGGGTCGCTATGAGTCGGGTCTGACTCAATGGCACATAACAACAACAACAACATGGAGGGAAGGAAGTGAGGAAAGTGTGCAGAGCAGAACTGAAATCCACAGGAGGGGTCGCCATGAGTCGGATCCGACTGGACGGCAGTGAGTTTGTTCTTTTTTTGATGAACTTTTGGAAGCAGATCGCCAGGCCCATCTTCCAAGGTGTCCCTGGGTGGATTTGAACCACCAGCTTTTAGGCTAGTAGCTGAGTGCTTAACCATCCACGGAGTCTTTAGCCAAACAGAACTTTGACTTTGCCTCCCAGATGTCCAGGGCTTGGGGGGCAGATGTTGTTGATGTTATGTGCCGTCGAGTCAGACCCGACTCCTAGTGACCCCTCCTTGGATTTCTGAGGCAGTATCACTATGGAAGTAGATTGCCCAACCTTCCTTCTGAGGAGTGGCGCATGGGTTTGAAGCGACAGCCTTCTGGTTAGCAGTCAAATGCCTTAGGCACTACGCTACCAGAGCTCCTCGGGGGCAGATAGGAATGGGTTAAAAGGGTGATTCATCCTTGTGGGGCTCTCCCTCAACCTCATGTGAGTAAGCAAAGGCTGATGGCTGTGATAGGGATGTGCTGGTCCCTGGCCAGATTGAGCCAGCTGACATTGCCAAGGAAGCAGCAGCAGCCGCAGAAGTTTGAAACTAGTATTTCCTAAGGGCAGCAAACACCACTGGGAGGGATGGCCAAGACTGATAATGGTCTTCCTGGGGCTGAGCTGAACTCCCCTCTAGTTATCTCCTCTCGCCAGCACTTGCTGGCAACACCGGAACCCTGTCTGGGAGGCTAATAGAATCAAATGAGAACTGCAAAACTATCACAGTGCCAGGGAGGGACTGAGCAAGGAACTGGCAGGTGGCAGTCACCTACAGGGGTGTTTTATCTGCACGGAACTGACTGTTAAGAACAAACCACAGCACACTAAACTGTGGGCAGCCACAGCACAGAAGGTGGGGCACGTGGCCCCTGCTGGATGGCCCCCCTGCTGTGGTGGGCTGGAGCTGACTCACTGGCTGGCAAGGGCTGATCTTTAAAGTTGCAGGAATTGTGAACCAGGTGATGCTGCCTGCAGTGGAAATATTTATACCAGGGAAAGAGGCAAACTATAAATCAAGGCCCCACCCCCCAAAAAAGCCTGTTGTTAAACATTTATCTACCTGCCTTCCCATTGCTGAGTGACCCCATCCCCCTATTTACACCCCCTTGTACTAAAACTGTATTTCAGCCCTTGGAACATGATCAAGGTCAGGGGCTCTGGACCAGGCAGGAACTGAAGTTGATGGCTGCCCTATCCATAGAACCACCTGCCTCTAGACCCCTCCCCACAGAGGAGAGCAGCAGCCTGTTTAGCCTGGTTCTTGAGGCCAGAGTAGGAGGGTGGCAGGAAGCAGAGGTACTTTCCAGAGAGCTGGGGTCTGAATGGGCCCATTGAGGGGCTGGGACCTGCTGTTTCCTGTGGGGCTGGGTGGAGAAGGGCTCACACAGGCGGCCTTGTGCTGCTGGGAGTGCGCAGGCCAGGCAGCCCCCTTGCTCCAACAGAGGCCTCTGATGCCTCCCTGGATGGGGCTTTGGAAACTCTGACATCGCCACTCCCCCACTCTTGGACTCCTCCTTTTGTCTCTCTTTCTCTCTCTGATGGGCTGCAGTTGTAAGAATCCAGAATCCCTCTCCTGGGGTGGGGTAGTTGTAGAGGATAGAGAAGTAGGATAGAGAAGCAATGAGCCAGGAGTCAATCCTGGAGGACTTCCTGGGGGAGGTGAGGTTGGTGGAAAGGAGCAGAGAGTGAGGGAAATGGGCAGTCTCAGAGAAGGGCAGTGAGGCCAAGTAAAAAGCTGGCAGAAAGGCCACAGGGAGGGCTCCCTTGGATAGGCAGGGGAGGGCTACTGCCCCTCACCCCCTGAAGGCTCAGGGTAGCTTCAAGGCAGAGAAATAGAAAGAAAAGTAGCATGGGCCAAGCCAGGCTCAGTGGTCTGATTCCTCTTGTCTATAGGAATTAGTCCTGGAGGTCCCTTCCAGGACAAGAGTCTGTTTTCAAGTATAGGTGTACAGAAGGTAAATGGTGTGAGCTTCCAGGATAATGCCAAGCCCTTGGCATGGTGGGACCAGGATGCCCCAAGGGCCTGGGGTGGGGCCAGAAAGAGTGACAGCATGCTTGGGTACACAGTGTATAGGGCTGTGAACATGTGTATTTGCATGTGTGTGCAAGTGTATGGGTGGCTGATGGAGTGTGTGTTTTGGGTAAGGCTATGTGTTTGTGTGTGTGCGCGTGTGTGGGCTGGGAGCTGCCAGGACAGAGCAGTAATTGTGCCCAGGCCTGTCCTGCCCCTTGGTGCCTGCCTGCCGTTACTTGGCTGGGCCTGGCTCCATGAAAGGGGCCGTGTGTTCTTGGAGGGCTCCTGCCCCTCCTGCCTGGCGCCCATCTAAGAAGTTTGCTGAAGGTGGAGAAGTCTCCCAACTTCCCACCCTTCCTCCCCATGAACAGGGTACTGCTGTCTGGGCCCCAGGGTGGGGTGGCTCCATCCCTCTTCCTGAGACTTAGGGCTAGGGGTACAGAAAGAGCCTGTGTCCTTCCCTGCCAATCCCCTTCTCCAATGGGGAGATGGGCCCAGAGACGTTGGAACCTAGGCCAAGGTCCCCCAGCAAACCACCCTCTGACAGGGCACAGGTGGTGCTGGCATCTCCTGGCTCCCAAGGGACATTTCTAGGGTGTTTGTCAATGGGGACCTGCACTCTGGTCCAAGCATGTGGCTTGTTCCCATCATGATGTTCGACCCTCAGCCCATCAGCAGTTTCTTGGAGAAAGGGGTCCCTGTGCTGGAAACACCTCTGCCTGCCAGCCCCCTCACACTTTCCAGGCCAGCCAGAAGTAGGTCTGAAGCACAGTACTTGTCTGATCTCAAGGGTTGCTGCAGATCCTGCCTCTTCTGAGTCCTCAGACCACCTGGATTCTGCTTCTCCCTTGCCCCCTTCTCTCCCTATTTTGTCTTTGGTCCCCCTTTCCTCTATCCCACCCTGACTATTCCTAGGAGAACTACCTTGCCCTAGAACAGAGAGTCAGGCCCGGGGCCCTTTGCCTTCCCAGCCCTGGGCTCCCTACCCCTTGGGGGCTGAGCCCACTATCTCAAAGTTCCCTATAGCCCATGCTTGTAGTAGGGGGCTAGGCCTCCACTTTCCAGACAGACACACTGAGGTTCCTGAGGAGAAGCACCTGGACAGAGAGAAGCAGAAAGAGAGCTGCCATCCCAGGCTGTGCCACCTGCCTGATCCCCATTCAAGCAGGCACCCCACCCCACCCCCTGGCAATCTACCCCTGTGTGCCCAGCTCCCATTGCATTCCTAGTTGCCTGGGGCAGCCAGGAGGGCCCACAGCCAGCATGCGTCATGGGCAGCAGCAGCATTCCTGGGTGTCTGCTGCCGCCTGACTTTATAAGGGAGAAAGTTTGGGAGCCCAGAGCCGCTGGGTGAAATGGCCAGTGGGGAGTACCCAAGCCCATAGCTGAGGGCCTGGGTGGGAGACCTGGACATATATATGGGGGAGAGATATAGCCAGTGTTATTGAGATGGAGCAGGAGATGAGAGGTAGATGGGAGAGAAGGGAGGGCCTATATTCATTCATTCATTCATTCATTCATTCACAAATAATGCAGAAATGGAGATGGAAAGGGAGGGAAAGAAAGCCCTGGAAAGATATTTAAAGTAAGAGTGAGAAATAGAGACCCCCTCCTC